ATAGTTAACATCAAACTAAATTCTCATCAATTCTACTAAAATCAGAAAGAGGATAAGCTTGCCCACTCTCTCCATATCTATTTAATATAGTATGTGAACTTCTAGGTAGAGAAATAATACAACTGAAGGAGATCAAGGGGATACAAACTAGAAAGGAAGAAGTCAAAGTATCATTATTTGCAGGTGATATGCTCATATGCCCCAAAAATTCTGTCAGGGAACTCCTACTGCTAATAAACACCTTCAGCAAAGTGGCTGGACACCAGAGTAACTAAAATAAATAAATAAATAAATAAATAAATAAATAAATAAATAAAGCAAGCCATAGCCCTCATACATACAAATGACAAACAGGCTGAGAAATAAATCAGGGAAAAATATCCTTCACAGTAGACACAAAACAAAAACTGTCTTGTGGTAACCTTAACCAAGCACATGAAAGACTTATATGACAGAAACTTCAAGTCTTTGGAGAAAGACATTGCGGAAGGTATTAGAAGATGGAAAAATTTTCCCATGCTGATGGATCAGTAGAATTAACACAGTAAAAATGGCCATCCTACCAAAAGCAATCTACCATCTAACCAAAAGCAAAAGATTCAATGCACTCACCATCAAAATTCCAACACAATTCTTTACAGATCTTAAAGAAAAACACTCAACTTCATATAAAAAGAAAAGAAAAAACAAAAAACCTCAGGGTAGCTAAAACAATCCTGTACAATAAAAGGACTTCTAGAGATATCACCATCCCTGATTTCAAGCTGTACTACAGAGCAATAGTAATAAAAACCTCAAGGTATTGGCATAAAAACAGACAGGTTGATCAATGGAACTGAATCAAAGACTCAAACTAAATCCACATATCTATATATGATATATGATTTTTGATAACAAAGCCAGAAATAGACAATGGAAAAAAAGAAAGCATCTTAAATAGTATTGGTCTAACTGTATGTCTGCGTGTAAAAGAATGCAAATAGATCCATATTTACCACTGCACAAAACTCAAGTCTACCTGGATCAAAGACCTTGACATAAAACACACTGAACCTGATAGAAGAGAAAGTGGGGAATAGCCTTGGAATTTAGTTGGAACTGGCCTGTAAGTTCAACTTAGATCCTCCCCAGAGGCATAGCACTTTCATCTCTTTATCTGAGAGGAAGCCAAGTCAAACACAGAAACTATTTTTACTGAATCATCTTCAACTCTCAGCACTGAATAACATGTGTACTTAATAACTTAAATAATAGTAATCTCTTTCTAAAATAAATATGTTTGGGGAAAGCATTCTAATCAGTTCCCAAAGTACACATTCCTTTTCTTAAAAAATATATGTATATATTATATAACATATTACTAATACATACACACACACATATGCCAAATGCTGCCCACTTCTGGACCCCCCCCAATCACTCCTCCACCCCCCTTCCTCTTCTCTGGTAGAGTGGGGCCACTGTCTGTCTGCATTTTCACCTTGTTGGGGCTGCCCACTCAGGGGAGGCAGGAACTCAGTCTAAGACAGGGGCCTTAGCCTGTGTTTTTCTAGATGAAAAACAGTAGAGGCTGGGGTGGAGTCTGTGGTTCTCAAACTCCTGTGCACCTTAGACACTACTGGGAACCCTGAGGAATTGAGAACTGGGGCCTGCTGGTCAGTGATGAGCTTGGGACAGGGCTGAATCTGGCTTAGTTTCGAATGAGTGTCAGGAGTTAGGAGAGGCTTCTACAGGAGACTTAGGTACAGCTCTGTATGATGAAGGCCTCCCTCTGTGGTGGTCCTTGATGAAGGAGACAGTCCTTACTTGCCCAAATTGTTTTATTTATGGCTGATGAAAATGCATACGCCTTACTCAGGGTGAACCAGAGATTAAATACCTTTTGCAGGAAGGGATGCCCGGGAAGGAGAGCTCATTGGCTAAACACTCAGGAACCTATCTAGATACCTCATTAGCATGGAGAACTCTAGGTTCTGTGCTACATGACTGGTTGTCATGGTCCTCTTACTGGGGTATTGTGGTCATGTGCTCCAGGACAGGAACCTAGTCAGGATCTAGTTCGGACTCCTGACATTCTCAATTATGAGATTTACCAGGGTTCTGAAGTTGCTACTACCTTATCAGTTCTTCTGTCTGGTGACAGACATCCCCTGGTTATCCCCCAACCTTGTAGCATCAAGTCTCTGTAGGATTAGGTATATCCTCTCCCACTGAGGCCAGAAAAGGTAGCCCTCTTGGGGAACAGATTCCACAGTTAGGCGTTAGGGTTAGCCCCCATTCCAGTCATTGGGGAACTCACAGAGAGACTGAGCTGCATGTCTGCTACATATGTATGGGGGGTAGGGTTAGGGTTGGGGGGCAGTCAGCCTGTGTATGCTCTTTGGTTGGTGGCTCAGTTTCTGAGTATACATTTCTTAATACCAACAATTTTTATTCCAACAAGTAGAATAAAGTAACTTGATTTATTTTATTAAGAACATTCCTAAAATTCAGCTTATAAATAAGTATTCTTCTTATTCTTCTTATTATATGAGTTTTGTTTTAAAACAAGGTCGCATGTAATCCAGGCTGGCCTTGAACTCACTATGTAACTACAAATGACTCTTGTGGTGGTTTGAATGGGAATGGCCCCCACAGACTCACGTTTGAATGCTTGGTCATTAGGGATTATTTGACAAGTGAGGTGTGGCCTTATTGAAGGAAATGTGTCCCTGGGAGTGAGGTTTTGTGGTTTCAACTGCTAAATACAGGCCCAGTGTCTCTCTCTTCCTTCTGTCTTCAGATCCAGATGTAGAAATCTCAGCTACCATGTCTGTCAGTGAGACTCTATGTTCCCTCCTATGACGATAATGGACTAAACCTCTGAAACTGTAAACCAGCCCCAATTAAATGTTTCCCTTGGTAAGAGTTACTGTGGTCATGGCATCTCTTAACAGAAACAGAACACTGACTAAGCCAATCCTGATGTCCTAATCCTCTTGACTCCACATTTGAAGTTTGATATTACAAGTGTGTGCTACTACCCTTGACTCAGGATCACAGTTTACATATGTTCAAGTGAGCATTTGCCATCTGTACATATAGGGGTCAGAGGGTAACTTGTGGGAGTCAGTTTTCTCCTGTCACCATTTGAGTCCCAAGGATCAAATTCAGGTTGTCAGGCATGGCAGCAGGTGCCACTGTGCTGTCGCGCTGGCCCAGAATCAAAGGGTCAAATGGAGTCATAAAATTCATACTTTTTCACCCTAATTATGCAGAAGAAATTTTTCTCTCCTTTTCTTTCTTGGTTTTCCTTCTATTTTTGTTGTTGCTTTTGTTTTAAAATAGATCTCTGCTGGAGAGATGGCTCAGCAGATAAGAGAACTAGCTGACTGTTCTTCCAGAGGACCCAGATATCCCAGCACCCACATGGCAGCTCACAACTGTCTATAACTCTAGGTCCAGGGGATCCATGACCCTCACACAGATGGAAAACTACCAAAGCAAATAAAAATAAATAAATCATTTTTAAAACATAGGTCTAACTGTGCATCTCTGGCTGGAGCTCCCTGGAGCTCATTCTGGCCCTGAGCTTCCTAAATCCTGGGATAACAGGCATGTGACATACTTGGCTCTCTTCTGGTTATCTAAATTTCAGTTTTGTCCTTGTAAATGACACTATGAACAAATGAAATGTTTGTCTAAACTGTTGTTATTTGTCTACAGTAAGCATATGAACCTAAAAGTGAAAAGGGCTCTACCTTAGACACAAGCTACAACATGAACCACACACTTTCCACCTACGTCACTCAGCAGACACCCTCTGTGCATGTTCTTGCATAGCATCTGGTCTTTGAGGAAAAGTCAGCTTCACATAGTTCAAGAGGGGAAATAAAATCACATTAGCTCTTTTAATTATAGAAATAATAGAAAAAAATCTCAAAACTAAATTTTTAAAGTAAGTTACAAAATTCCGTAAAACTTAAAAATTAAAGTTACTATAATAATTACTTTTCTGTTGCTATGATAAAGCACCATGGCCAAGACAACTTATAGAAGGAAGGGTTTATTTGAGGCTTACAATTCCAGAGGTATGGGAGTCCATCACCATCATGGCAGGGAGCATGACAACAGGCAGGCAGGCATGGCACAGGAGCAGCTGCTGAGAGCTCACACAAATCCACAAGCAGGAAGCAGAGATCATACTTGCAAAGACATGTCTTTTAAAACCTCAAAGGCCACCACCAGCGACACACATCCACCAACAAGATCATACCTCCCCAACTGTTCCCAAACAGTTTCACCAACAGAAGATCAAGTATTCAAACATATAAGTCTATGGGGACCATTCTCATTCAAACTACCACCAGTTAATTTTATTAATATATATGTATGGTTATTTTGCCTGGCATGTATGTCTGTATATCACATGAGTGCCTGTCAAAGCCAGGAGATGGGGCCAGATCCCCTATAACTGGAGTTACAGATAGCTGTGGCCCATCATGGGGGTGCTGAGAATGAAACCCAAGGCCTTTGCTGGAGCAACCAGTGCTCTTAACTGCTGAACTATCTCTCCTGTCCCTGGATCATAAAATTTTCAAAGAACCACACACAGAACCAAGTCCTATACACAAAGCATTACCTGGACTTCTTTTAATGTTTGAATCCAAATACACCATATATTTAATAGCCCATTTATTTCCAGAATCCCATTTTTTATGGGATAAAGTATATTTTATTTAGATAGAGAAGGAAGTAGCTCACCTCTGAGGTACTGTTGGCATTTGATAGCTGCTGGTAAAAGAGGCAATTTCTTTTAATGCTGTGACCTCTGGTGTATCAACCACACTCCACGGTAGGCCCTACACTCAAGAGAAGTTGGTCAACACAAACTGAACTTGAGGGAAGGAGGGAGGGAGGGAGGAAGGAAGGGAGAGAGGGAGGGAGGGAGACATGCCCCACTACCCTAGGTTTAAAATATATTTTGTACTCTCAAGTGTCAGTGATAAAAACTACAGTGCTTTTTATCAGTCAAGGGTATTATTTTTATTTAACTAAAATAAAGGAATACCATAGACAACAGAGATTCCAGTTAAAATAAATAAAGAGCAGAACATGTTTCTGTTTACACATGTGAGACATGTCTAATATGTAAAATGAAATGAGCACACGTTTCTACAGTGAAAGCCAAGAGACTTAAAACTCCCTAAATCTTCACAAAACCTCATCAGAAAATTCCTCAAAGTGTTTCCTAGGTGACACAGAAAGTTTTCTCCATTGATTTAGATATTTTTATTGACCCTTTGTTCTTCAGAGTCTCTTTCAAGAAGGAGTAAGAGTTTTGAATTTGTAAACAACACAATTTCCAGCATGTTAACTGCTGTCCTCAGAGGTATCTCAGTTTTTCTGTTCCTCACGTACACTTGGACTACCAGAGGCACTGGCATGGAGTGGTTCTGTTTTCCTCTTTAAAGCAGACTCAACAGACTCTGGGTGTTCCGGAGTCCTGGACCTCACAGCATGGGCTGCATAGTTAAGGCTGGTATTTTCACTCCAATGCCAGTAACCTGAGAAAGGATTATAGATCATTCCTGCCACAGTTTCAACTGACAGACCATCTGGAAAAAAAAAAAGAAAAGAAATAAAAAAAAAAACTTGGACTCAATAAACATTTACCATTGAAACCACAAGAACACACAGTCACTCTTCATATTAACATAAAGTTACCAACTTAATGAACAAAAATGCTTTGCAGTCATGCTTGATCATACTTAATTGCATACTTAATTTGCATACTCCAAAGCAGAGAACTAGGTTCCCCAGTTGTACTACTGTATGCTGTCCCTTTCTAAATGCCACATAGAGAACATGTGTTTTGGAGCACTAGAATTAGAGGAGATTTGTCTAGATTAGCTCAGTGCTTAGAATACTCTTAAGTTCTCAACAAATGGTAGCTGTCACTTGAGAATATCTGTCAACAAGAAACTGTCCCCATAAGGTATTGGTTTTGGGTTGTATTCTCTTCTATTTGTTGAGACAGGGCCTCACCCTTGTTTAAGACTGGCTTTGTTTTATTTTATTTTTATTAATTTATTTACTTATTCACTTTACATTGGGTAACAGCCCTCCTCCTTGCTCTCCTCCAAACCCCACCCTCACAAATCCCTCCCCCCATTACCCACTTTGGGTACCACCCCACTCTGGGACATCAAAAATTGGCTTTACTTAATATAGGCTTTCTGTATAGCCCAAGCTAGCCTTAAATACCCAGTCCTTCTGGCACAGCCTTTAAGTGTTTGATTACAAGTCTGTATCACTATCCTCAGCTCCAAAAAGATTCTTTAAAATATCCTTTTTCTATCCTATTTTCAACAAAGTTACAGACATCTGTGAAACCTATCACACTGCTCTGAACTGACAATATTTTAAGGAAAATATTTTGCTGATGCACTGTTGTCAACAAAAGCATGGGAAACGGTGTCTAAGTACTCAACAAGACCTCCAAAATGCCAAATGGGTGAACTAAGAAACATCCCTTAACAGACTCCAATAAACAAATCATTCACTGTGTCAAAGCATGGTGAGAGACTGTGTGGAGGATAAAAATGAGCTTATGGGCCAGGGATGTCTGAAGAAATGAGAAAATTACATGCAGCCATGCTTAGATCACATTCGACAGCAACTATGAATACATACTCCAAAGCAGATTCCTGAGTTCAAATACCAACTCTGACATCTGCCGTGGTGACTCTAGGTCACTTATGTAGGTACAAGAAATATACAAGAAATGATATGGAAGTTAAAATACATCTGAGTGTACAAGAGTCAGGAAAAAAATCATAAGGTACATTAAGATAAGCAGGGCTCATCAGGAGATACTGAGAAAGTGGAATACACCCAGACACCCATCCTTAAACAATGAAGACTAAATTATCCAGGAAAGGGTTTAGTGTTCATCGCTCAAGGCTACATGCAAGTCAGAGTGGTAGCTACTTCATTACTAGTTTCCAAGAATTTAAGACATAGTTAAAGAAAGGAAACTAGGGCTGAAGAGATGGCTCAGTGGTTAAGAGCACTGGCTGCTCTTCCAGAGGTCCTGAGTTCAATTCCCAGCAACCACATGGTGGCTTACAACTGTCTATAATGGAATCAGATGTCCTCTTCTGGTGTGTCTGAAGACATACAGTGTACTTATACACATAAAATAAATATATCGTAGAAAAAAGAAAGAAAACTAACATTTGAAAAAAATAGTAATCTGCTTACATAAATGCTAGATTATACAATTAGTAATTATACATGCATGACAGGTTCAGATAGGCCCTGACAACTGGAAAACAATTTTAATACTTACTTGGTTCCAATATACTCTCTAGCTTTTCAGGTGAAACAAACTTCTCCCATGTGTGAGTGCCTTTTGGAACAATGCCTGCAATTTGCTCTGAGAAAACAATCCCCAAGGCATAGGACAGCTGTGTTTTGTTTATTGTAGTAATGAATAAAGAGCCACCAGGCTAAAGGGAAGAAATACATACACAAGTAAAACCGTGGACGTGAAGTACAAAAGTTAGGAGCAACTGTGAGGTAAAAGCTTGCTTCCACACTCTCCTGCTTTCCGAATGAAGTAAGTGCAGTTAAGATACATAAATGGCTATAAAACATAATTACCAAAATAGCATTTTTCTCTCTTGGGAAAAATCTATTATTATAGACAATCTAATACAGACACAGTCACTAAATCTATATGTCAAGCATAGCTTTCAACTCAAAATTCTCTTATTGTTATTTATGTATGTATATATATTTACTTATGTATATATATTCTTTTGTATGTATTACAATGTATTACTTTATGTGAATTGATACATGTATACATTTATATTCTTTTTTCTTTTGTTGAGACTTTTTACATATTATATATTCTTTTTCATGCTATTATATTATTATTATTATTTTGGTTTTTCAACACAAAAGTTTCACTGTGTAGGCCTGGCTGGCCTAGACCTCACTCTGTAGACTAGAATGGCCTCAAACTCAAAAGAGATCTGCTTCTGCTTCCTGAGCATTGGGATTAAAGGTGTGCACCACCACTGTCAGCTCAGACAATATATTCTCATTACTGTTTTCCCACCTCCCAGGTCCTCCACACCTCCGCTCCAATCTGGATCCACACCTTTTCTGTTTCTTGCTAAAAACAAAAACATATCTCAGGAGTAATAATAAAATAAAATAATAAAAAACAAATAATCAGAATATATCAATGGCCAAACAAGAAAAGGAGCCAAAAAACATATGTTTGCACATACAGGAATCCCACAAAAATCAAAACTAGAAGCCATAATTATATATATGAGACTTGTAAAGTTAAAATAAAAAATGCCTTGAGACAAAGAACTTCCAAAGGTGCCACTGAGGGTTTTTTGCATGGCATGAGCCCTACTCCTAAGAGTGGTTTTGAAAAAAAAGAAAGAAATAAAAGAAGACAGGAAGGAAGGAAGGAAGGAAGGAAGGAAGGAAGGAAGGAAGGAAGGAAGGGAGGGAGGAAGGGAGGAAGGGAGGAAGGGAGGAAGGGAGGAAGGAAGGAAGGAAGGAAGGGTCAGAGTGGTTTGTTTCCTCAGTGAGACTCCCTTGGAGACTCAGTTAGAGATAGCTTCCGGGTTAAGGGTGGGAGTATGTGTCCACTTCTTCCAGCTCTAGGATCCCGCCTGGTGTAGACCTATGCAGGGCCTGTGCTCGCTGCCAGTCTTGGTGAGTTCATATGTGTGCCGTTTTGTTGTGGCTTCACAAATCCTTGACGTCCTCTTAACAACAAATGTCTTCCGTGTTTTCTCTCAGATGCTAAGCCAAATGTGCAGAGTACAGCATTACCAACAAGTAATCTCTGACAAACCTATTCATAAGGTTTAAGCATTTTTTATTTTGATTTATGAAAAGATTATGAAGGGATCAAGATAAACTCTTAGATGAAAGTAAATCACTTATGGGAGTATTTAGTCTGCCTGTGTAATGATAATATTTATATTTCCTATATTTATTCTCAAAACAGCAAGGAAGATAATATCACTCCTTCTTTTACCCAGTCTCATTGACCTAATGAGAACAAAATGTCACTCCAAAATCACCTTCTCTCTCTCCTTTCTCTCTCTCTCTCTCTCTCTCTCTCTCTCTCTCTCTCTCTCTCTCTCTCTCTCTCTCTCTCTCTGTATGTGTGTGTGTTTATTGATTGCAACAGACTGGTAGATAGATAGATATTGTGTGTATATAGTTGGGAAAAGATGTATATTTTAAATACCATTCAATATTCAAACTAACAAAGAATACCAAAATATCAGGGTATACATATCACTACATGTTGTAGTTCCTCTCTGTAAACTTTAGTATTTTAAATCTTACTAACAATTAGTTATGTTACACATCTGTATTTGATACACAGATTCACACTTATGAATCACAATCTGTGCTTGGTAGTATATCACATTTCATGGTGATTGTGGTAAGCAATTATTTTTAAACATTTGGTCTCCATTAAAACAAAATTAGATTTGTGCTTACAGTACCAGCATTCATCATATGATGTGTCAACAAACTTCTATTCAGACATTTATATTAATATAGAAACAAAAACTACTATGGATTTTACTTGAAAAATAGGAAATAAATGTAATAAAATTCTATTTAAGATAAAACTCTTTGAAGCTGCTACAGATTTGGGCCAGTGAAATGGCTCAGAGGGTAAAGGCACCTGACAGGAAGCCTGAACTTCTGATTCCATCCCTAGGGCATACATAATAGGAGAGAATCAACCCACTCAAGCACTCCTCCACCTCAATGCATAAGCACACCTCCCCCACAGGCATGCCCCACACACACTAAATTAAAATGTTATTAAAAAAAAGGTATAAAATGTCAAAGATAGGAGATGACTAAGGAGACATAGCAATTACATGCAATGCAGAAGTCTAGGTTGGATATATAATGGAAAAATAAAATCACTGGAGAAATTGATGAGCCTTAGCTTGTTCTCCATGAAATTACTAAAGCAATGCCACTATTCACGTCCAGTCTCTAGACATGTACAGGGATTATGCACAGGAACAAGACATTAAAGAGGCAAGTGATGGGTTTGCGGCCCAGAACTGAAGTCTGTAAGTGTTTTCAGGGAATACAGTGAAAGGTGGGCATCTGAGAGGAAGTGTCCCTTTCAACTTGGGACACTAAGTACCTAGTTTGACACATCTTAGTTTCTATCCATATGTGAGCTGTTACTATAAAGGAAAAACAGGTGAATGCAAAGTCATTCTGTATTTGTAATTCTTCCTTAAATGTACAACTATTTTAATAGAAAGCTTTCTGACTTTCAGCCGGTTTCAGGGAAGCAGGTAGGCTGACTGCAGATCTTCACCTCTCATTCAACTCATCCAAATCCAATCCCCCAGTCTCATCCCCAGCTGTGCAGCAGACCACTTGCTTCTGTCTCCCTTCCCTCCCTCTGCCCATCTCCACTGCATCACACAGATGTCCCCCTTCTTAGCTCCCTACCCCACTCACTGCTCTGTCTCAGCCTCCAGTTCTAGCAAGCATCTCCTGGGAAGAATGGCCAGCAAGCATGTAGGCCAACTGCGGATCTTCACCTCTCCCTCCGTTCCTCCAAATCCATCCCCCAGTCTCATTCTCTAGCTCTGTAGCATATCTGCTGTGGTCTCAGCTCGCTCTCTACTTCAATCTCGGAGGACTAAGCAGATCCTGTGGGATCATCCTGCTTTCCTCCCTCCTGTGGACCCCAGACTCTACCATACACACTCCTAGCTCATTCCCATGTCTATGCCTCAGCTTCTAGAACTTAGGAACACATTTTACCTGGACCCGAGTGACCACACCTATCAGGATCCCAGAACTTCCTACCAGGCAACATACAGCCACCACATTTGCCTAAGAACCAGAGATGAAACAAACCAAGGGACAAAACACTCACCCAACAAAGATGAGAACAGATATCAGCACCTAGAATTACAACCTTCCAATTCCACATATTTAGATGCCAGTGTAACAATACAACCAATAATATCCAGGACAATACATCTCTACTAGAATCCAGCAACCCTAATTCAGAAGGCAGTAAGTATTATAATATAACTGAAGCTCAAGAAAAGACCTTAGACTAGCCTATATGGATATAACAAAGGCCCATAAAGAGAAAATAAATATATCCCTTAGCACAATCTATGAAGACACAAACAGTGGGAGGAAGTGAATAAAACAATTCAAAACCTGAAATTGGAATTAGAAGAAAAAAAAACAAAATAAAAAACAAATGGAGGGAAATCTGGAAATGATAAATTTAGGAAGTCAAACAGGAACCACAGAGGCAAGCCTCACCAACACAATACAAGAGATGGAAGAGAGAATCTCATGCATTAAAGACACAATAGAAGAAATGTCTATCTACAAAACCAGTTCTACAGATGGTGCTAGAAGGAAAACACCATCTTAAAGAGGTTAGTGACACCTAAGAAAACACAAGGTATAGATAATCCCAGGCTAGCAAATCAAAAGAAGAGAAACACACACACACATATCACCACCACAACAATAGTAACAGGAATCAATAAAGCACTGCTCATTGATATATCTCAGTATCAATGGTCTCAGTGCTCCAATAAGACACAGACTAACAGAATGGAGGTAAAAATAGGATCCATCCTTTGGCTGCATCTAAGAAACACACCTTAACATCAAAGTTAAATATATTTTAAGCAGTAAAATAAAAGTAAGCTATTATCAACATTTAATATTAAAATTATAATATATAAGCTTATATATAAACATATTTACATGTAAATATTACATGATAATATTTAATAATACAGACTTTGAAACAAAACTAACCAGAAGAGATAGAGAAGGATACTACATATTAATCAAAGGAAAAAACCCACCAAGAGGTCTTAGCAATTCTTAATATCTATGCACCAAACACAAAGTCTCCCAAGTTTGTTAAGGAAACACTACTACAGATAAAATCACATATTGTCCCTCACACACTAATATTAAGAGACTTCAATACTCCACTCTCACCAACAAGTAGATTATCCAGACAGAAACTAAACAGAGAAATGCTGGAGTTAACTGGCATTATAAACCAAATGAACCTAACATATTTACAGAGCATTTCATCCAAACACAAAATAATAAACCTTCTTCTCAGCACCTCATAAGAGTTTGTCCAAAACTGACCACATACTCAGACACAAATCAAGTCTCAATAGATACAAGAAAACTGAAATAACACTCAGCATCCTATCTGACCACCATGGATTAAATCTGGCTATAAACAACAACAGAAACAACAGAAAATTGACAATCTCATGGGAGCTGAACAACCTACTACTGAATGAAAAATGGTAAAGACAGATATCAAGGAAGGAACTAAGTGGGGTGGTGGT